CATCATCTTTTACAGATGGCTGTAGACTCTCTGTCCTCCAGTGATTTGGATCCATCACTCCATCAGATCTTCTGCCACTGATTTTCAGCCTGGTTCATGTGTATTTTGGGAGACCTCAGCCTGTGCGCCCCGTCACACTTCTTTAAAAACGCCTTGACAGCCCCTGATGTCATTTCTGATGAGGCTAGATGCATCTCTCAGTTTAACTTCATGGTCCTGTTGCAGATCAGTTTCTGCACTACATAAAGTTTAAATTTTAATTTAGTTTCACACTGCCCATCTACATCATCCAGTGTAAGAGCTGCTATCTGCACTGAAAGTTACTTCAAAAATAATGTCGGCACATGAAGCTACACAGCAGTGTCTGATTTAACTGCCTTTATTGGTTGAGATTGTGAGATACAGGCCAGAACGAATCCCAGCAGAGTAATTTGAGTAAGAAACAGTCACCCGGCAACTATCAACAGCTCCCCTCCAAATGTGAGCTGATGTTGACCTAAAAGAGTCCTTCAGTACTTTAGTTACACACATTCATTCTTATCACACATCTGTTTCTGCACAAATCTGTGACATCAGTCGGAGTGAACATGAAAGAAATATAAACTTAACAACCACTGCACCGGCTATGATGTCACCGATTTGCGACGAGCCAGAAATCCATCTTAAAATTGAAAACATGCAGATGTGAATCTTCGAGCAGCTCCAGTTTCCTGCTGATTACCCATCAGATTTGTTAAATTCCTCCATGTTGTAAAACAACAGACATCCTCGCCTGCCTGCACAAACAAAACAGCCAAAATAATATTCATATCTCTCTCTGACCTGCTAATGAGTGCATCTCTGCTGAAAGCTTTTAAACTACGTGTGGAAAACAAAAAGCCTGACAGCAGTCAGTGTTTATTTACCCACCAAACCACCCGTTTATGATTTTATTGAACATTTAAATAACGTTAGAGCTAAACTGGTACAGTCTGGATGAACACCGAGGATCCCAGGTGGGTCAAAGTCAGAAGGTTTTTGAAGCAGACACGCAGCTTTTCTGTTTCTCCGCCGTCATGTCCGCTGAAGGTGCGACAGCGGCTAGCGGCTCAGAAGTTGATGGCTTTGCCGAAGGAGGCGGCCAAGTTGGCTTCTCTGAACGCCTCGGACACCGTCTGCAGGAGAAGGGCGAAGAGAAAGGCGTTTGAAAGAGGTCACAGTGCAACAGGACTTATCATTTCTCATGTAATCTCTCACATCTTTACTACAAGATAAACTAAGAACTGTGCATGTGCGCTATGCTGTGTCGTGTGTGATGAAGAGAACGCACCGGATGGGCGTGGCAGACTCTGGCGACATCCTCGCAGGAGGCGCCGTACTCCATGGCCAAAGCAGCTTCATTGATCATCTCTCCTGCGCCCTGCAGGGAAACGCGCAGCAGTGTCTGGTTTAGCAGGTCTGTAAACAGCAACAGCTTCACGTGGTCTGTTACAACAATTAACTTTCCAGCAAGCTATTTTACTTGTCGGGTAATTACAATCAAGACGAACACAGTAGCAAACTTGGTCACTTAATTCAGGCACTTATCCCTGTGATGGAGAGGTAATGACTGCCTGAGAAAACACAGTCCCTTGTTGCGGATCATGTCCATTTTTTTACACATGTGTTCACTGCACCAACCTTCTGTCTAAGACTGTCCAGCAAATTTAAGGGAGGAGTTTGAGACACATTCAGAAACATGAAACAAAAACGTAATTGTGCATGTAACTGAGAGCTTTAAGAAAAGTTGTGTTCTAGGGATGCACCGATACATCGGTATCGGTACCGATACCGGTATTGGCCTCGATACCACATTTTCTAAAGTACTCGTTAAAAGTCCCCCGATACCGAGGACCGATACCACGGTCTGAGACCTGTCTATGTTTGAGCGGCATGTAAGGGGTTAATCACGGGCGCCGAGTGCCCGCCCCCAGG